AGGCCTAAAACCTAATTCACCGGTGCATGTAACATGGGTACTGAGAAGAATTAAGAGATGGAATGAAAGCTGTGCAGCGGCCTGTTCCTGTAACAGGAAAGAGGAGGTATCTGGAACAACTTTACAGAGGCGTCTCACGTGTTAATGGCACCAAATCTGTCACACGAGTTAGTAAAGATTCAGAAGTAAGAATCTTTATTACCGTATATCTGCTCTGCTTTCACTGCTAGAGAAACACCATGTGGTTTAGTCAGTCCACTGAGCTCGTTTGTTTCTAGTGTCCTCAGCTGCCACAGTGAACGTCTAAACAAGATATGTTCACTTGCTTTGGAGCAGCCATTCAAAAACCAAATAGCTTCTTTTGGCCAGTTGAGAGGTGCCATGTCCAAGTGATAACAGTTGTAGCCGGTGCAAAAGGAAGAGGTGCTTTGCATTCTATGAATCTCTACATTCCAGTGCTTGTGAGATCCCGTATACATTGTCCATTTCATCGTGCAGCTTTCCCTTCAGAGAGGTTTCTGACCTTACAAGATGCCTGAGTACTTCAAGTTTCAACATATTTGGTGTTCTTCAACCATGGGAACTGTTTGTCTTAATATCCAATTGCAAGCCCACAGTTGCTCCTCAAGTGGAAATTCTTAGCCCATTGCCCCGTGGTAGTTATTAGGAGGTGCAGATACTTAATGTAGCTGCCATAGCTGCTGCTGCATGGTCAGTTCGTCTGTACCACACGCCAGCTTCTGGTTTACATTGTTTGCTCAGGAAGCCTTACATACTCATTCCCATGTCTAATTAGTATGGCTTGAAAGGCGATTTATATAATTTCTGTTCTATAATAGCACATTATGTAGAGAAAAAGTTCCCTGTTTAAAACCTGTTTAAATATTTCATTCACTTTAGATTTCTACTTTAATTTCTTCAGCCCTAACTTTTTGTTTGTTTCTTCAAGACAGGGCTTCTCTGTAGCCCTGGCTGTTCTAGAACTATCTATGAGGCCAGGCTGATCTCAAACTCACAGACCTGCCTCTGTCTCCTGAGTGCTGGGGTTAAAGCCATGTGCCACCACTGCCTGATGGAACCCTGACATTTTAATATCCTATCTGTCACAACTGGCCCAAATAAGTCTGCCTTACTACTTCAAAAATACCACAAACAGAGCTAGACAAGGTGACATATGCATGAAATCCCAGCATGTGGGAGGTAGAGAAATGAGAATTAGGAGTTCAAGAATATCCTCAGATACATAGTGAGCTCAGGGCCAGCAAGGACTACATGAGACCCTATCTCATAAAAAGACAATTTTAACAATACGAAGGTTATGTGTACCATAAAGTAAGTCTAACCGGAGAGGTGCTCACTAGTAGAGCATTCCTAGCATGTTCAAGGCAACCCCCACCCGTGAAAAATCCAATACTAAAATACTAGTTAAAACTGGTCAAAATCTTCTGCTTTTTGGATCAAGATCTTGGAATATAGTTGCTATTATCAAAATATTAGGTTTGTTTTTATGATTGATAAACTGTGACCAACAAACTATGTCTATTTCATAATGACTAGCAATAGGTAATAAAAAGACTGCCAACATTCTCAAGAAAACTCCAAGTGGCTTCTACTTTCCAACAACTGTTAACGGCGAAGAGCACTGGAGGAATGGCAGAGGGGTCTGTGGTGGCATGGGTGGCACTGATTGCTGTGCCCTTTGTGAAGAGCCAAAGGAGGCAAGCAAGAAAGGCCAGAAAGTGTTCTGGAGGCTTTGATTATTGGTACTAAAAGGCAGACACTCGTATCTAAGTTCCCGATCTTTTATACTTCCACTGTTCTTTTCAACATAGGACCATACTCCCAGCTTACACTGTCCAGCTTCATGTGACCTTCACACATTCGTCTTTTGACTGAAGGTACTAAAAAAGAGCCTTGGAAAAAAAGAGAGACTTGACTTCCTGGGTGCATTCTCTATTTAAAAATTTATAGCTAATTATCATTAAAAAAAAAAAAAGACTGTGATGTAATTACTCTCTAGATAATAGACTGGGTCTGTCTAGGTAAGTTGTGAACTAAAATTACAAACAGTTTAATGAATACTTTCATCACTGAAATCTGTCTTAGATTCACTTTGTTTTTTTATTGTTGTTGTTTTTTGTTTAATATTTTTTATTTTTAAATAATTTTATACATTCACTTGTATCCTAGCTGTAGCCCTCTCCCTCTTTCCCTCCCAATCCTCACCTCCCTCCCTCATCTCCTCCCTGCCCCCTTCCGAGTCCATTGAGAGGGGGTGTCCTCCTCTCCTTCCGTCTGTCCCTAGCTTATCAGGTATCTTCTGGATGGTTGCAATGTCCTTATCTGTGGCCTAGCAAGGCTGCTCCTCCATCAGGGAGAGGGGAAGCTCATGAGTTCATGTCAGAAACAATTCCTGTCCCCCTTACTAGGAAATCCACTTGGATACTGAGCTACCATGGACTATGTCTGAGGAGGGGTTGTAGGTTATATCCATGCATGGTCCTTGGTTGGATAAACAGTCTCATAGAAGACCCCTATGCTCAGATATATTTGGACCTTGTGGGGCTCCCTGTCCCCTCTAGGATATACTAATTCCTCCTTTCATATGATTTTCTACACTCTGCTGAAGGCTTGGTTATGGGTCTCAGCATCTGCTTTGATACGCTGCTTAGATTCACTTTGGATTCTCTCAGTAACTGTCTGGTTCTTAAGGCATCTTTAAACCTGACAGCACATATTTATCAAGCATAAGAAGTGAAGTAGCAGTGTGAGGTGGCTCAGAGGTTAAGAGACTGGCTGTTCTTCCAAAGGTTAATTCCCAGCAACCACATGCTGGCTCACAACCATCTATAGTGAGATCTGGTGCCCTCTTCTGACCTGCAGGTAGAATACTGTAAAAATAATAAATTAATCAAAAAAAAAAAAAAAAAAAAAAAAGAAAAGAAATGAAGTAGCAAATAGCTTTTAAACCCCTTACATAGAATCACAAAGGACAAAAACCAAAACCAAACCAATGGCATCAGAGTGCAAATCAATACAGTGATTCTTTTATTTTGTTCACTTCAATGTCTTTCTCTGAGGGGAGAGATATTAACAACATTAAAAACATTTCCTACTTCATAAATATTTACTATGATGCCTTTATCATATCGCTGAATAAGGAAATAATTTAATAAGTACTGAGACAGGTAAAGAAAGAATATTTGCAGTAAGGAAAGATCCAGTTCAGTTACCAACATGGTTTAGTTATCTGGAGAGAGACTGATATAAGCCCAATTTTTGAACTACCACTTTGCTTACTTGTGCTGTGATTAATTAACACACCTGTGCCTCAATTTCCCCCTGAATAAAAGGAACATCAAAAATAGTCTAAGAATTCTATACAGGTCTCATTTCACTTTCACAATTAATCAGTGGAGGGTGGGACCAACACTTGAGAGTTAAGTCACTCATCTACAGTTATAGTTAATAAGGGGCAGAGCAGAGTTGTGAAAGGAAGGCTTTTATGCCTTCTAAAACCAATACCGGTTAAACATTTTTAAAAAGATTATTTTCTTTTATGTGTATGAGTGTTTTGCTCGCATGTACGTCTGTGCTCCATGTGTGTGCCTGGTGCCGTTGGAGATTAAAAAGGGGTCTCAGATTTCCTGGAGCTGGAGTTATGGGCAGCTGTGAACTACAATGTGAGTTCTAGGAATCAAACTTAGGTCCTCTGCATGAACAGCCAGAACAAGTGCTCTTAACCACTGCCATTTCTCCATCCTGTGTAAACATTTCTAATCCCCAAACCTGAAATCTGAAGTGGTCTAAAATCTGACACAGAGAGTGGTATCAGACAACTCTCCAATCCTACCATCGCTCCAGGGAAGGGTAAGAAAGCACAGGGGATTACTAAGGTTTTCAGCTACAAGTAGGTAAGGTACAGGTAATGATGAACACTGAGAGAATGAGAGCAAGGGGAAAGTAAGGACGTCAGTGAGCCATTAGAGGACTCGCGGATGACGACAAGCAACATTGGAGCACATTGTCAAAACTAGTACGTAGGATAAACTGAGAAAACCTTGCCAAGGGCTGTCAACACACAAATAGTGTCAACACACACACAGACAGGGAAGCATAAATATAGCCTGGTTGGCCCAGTTTCATTTATAAGTTAAAATAGAAAAATAAAAAAGGAAAGTGAAAAAAATAAGCATGACAGAAGCAGCAGTAGCAGGGAGATTGCTGCACAGTTCTGCCAGCCTAAACATGAGCGCACAGAATGCTAATCCAGATAGCCTTACTTCCAAAGTTTCAACAATGCACATGGCCAGTTTACAATCTCCTACGATTTAGTATCTCTTATGACACAACCATCTCTCTTCCTTATGTAAATTCATATTCAAGTAGAAACAGGTATCCTAGTCTAGACTCAATATTACCCAATCCAAACATATAAGTGAAACAAAATTTAACTTGTTAGTGGATTAATAAATCTTTGCTAGCAATAAAGACACAATAAAGGTTAATACCTTCTGAGACTTGGATGTTAAAGACACAAATGCACACAACATTAGCAGATCTGTTGCTAGGTCTGGAGCGTCATATCTTTTCCTACCTGTATATTGCTTCTTTCTCACTCATGAAATGCTCCTACAAGCAAAGGCCCAAAGTTGTCTGCCTCATAAAGTTGTAAACATTTCATTTATTTCTTTCAAATGCCACCTTAATTTTCATGTGAAACTTTACCAACTATAAAGAACAGAAGGTCTCTGAGTCACTTAGAGTAACAAGTTTCAATGCATCTAATGATGACTATATGTAGTGGGAACAGGGTTGTTTTCCTTAAAGAAAAAGGGCAACACAACACTTTTGATTCCTTTTGTTTATCCTGCAGCCACTGTCACTTCAATGAGAAACAGCCTATAACTTTTCATCTCACCCAAGCCTATTCTTTTTAGACTTCAGATCATTATTTGCTTCTAAGGTGAAGTACATGCTCAGGGCAGAAGCACACCTACCTTGTGAGTAGAGAAGGATTTGCATCTCTAGAAGAACACAGGTGAACACTTGCACCAGGTTCTCCAGCCCCAGGAGCTCAAAGGCCTCTCGCAGAGGGTAGTCAGAAAGAGGGAGTTCATTGGGCCCAGGCCTCTGGCAGATGACAGGCTCATAAACCCCGTAAAATTTCAGTGACCTCCCAGGAGGTGGGAGGGGCACCTCGTAGAGAATATTGTGGATGTAGCTCTCCAGGGGCAAGGGCGGCGGCTGCTGTGAGCTCACGGCCTTGTAAAGCTGAAGGAGGAACTTCTTGCAGGCTTGCATGAAGGGCAGAGGTGTGATCAAGCATATACTTTTTGAAACATACAAGGTGTCTCTGTTGATGTCGTACGAGTTGTATCGCTGGAGTTTCAGAAGGGAGGTGGCATCACCCTCGTCGATGCTGCTGGCCAGCGAGTCCATACTGCAGGAGGACGAGGCGCAGACGCTGCTGCACTGCTCAGCATTGTGCATCTGGTACAGCGTCTGCATGGCGGTGCAGATCTGCTTACTTGTAACTTCCTCATAAAAAGTGAGGACAAAGCCGTAGGTTCGAGAACCGTCCTCCCGGGTGATTATAAAGGAGTGGAACTGAGGTTCTTTACTGTCAGCCTGTGTCCTGAAAGACAGCCCTTTCGGCATGCACAGCTGCGGAGAAGTGGGGGAGGGGACATCAGAACATCAGAACGCAGTATATGAAAAACTTAAACACGAAAAGGGGGTGAATGCTTTTCTTTTTAACAGGATTCAAAGGACAAGCTTCACTTTAGTAATAGCTTTAAATTAGAAATGTAAATTACATGTAGACAACATGTTCTCAAAGGAAGCAAATGTGGGGCCAATTTGGCTAAGCAGGTTAAGGTACTTGCCTCCCACCATAAACCTCAAAACCTTCATTCAATTTCTGGGACCCACACAGTAAAAAGAGAGAACTCACTTTACAGCTGTCCTATCGCCACATGTATGCACATACACGAACAAGAAATAAACGGAACAAAATTTTTAAAAATAGATGTATATACATAAACGGAAAAATGTTCACTGTGTGGGAATTTCACAAAGAACGAGAAGCCAAGAGCCAGAGCTAGCCCAGCAGGTCAAAGTGGCGGCTCTCAAGCCTGAGTTCTACCAGCAGAGCCCACGTTCCCACATGGTGGAGGGAGCAAACTTTCTTCTGCAGGCTGTCTTCTGCCTTCCACACACGGTGATTACACATGACACATACACACACACACAAAACCCCACACTACGTGTAAAGTATTTTTTAAATTTTAAAAGAAAATGAGACCTTTGATTTGGATTCATAAGCCGGTTTAAAAAAAGGCTCTGACCCTGAACAAGATGTGAAGACAATGTGTGCTCAGACACCTGGCAAACATTTCTTTGAGACAGGGTCTATACAGCCCTGGCTGGCACTCAAGAGATCCACCTACCTCTCTCTGCCTCCAGAGTGCTGGGACTAAAGATGTGTGCCGCCAGCATAGCTGACTCTGTGGAGGGGCTTAGGTGAGCCAGCCCTGACGGCGAGCTCCAGGAAGACTGGCCCTGCCTCCTTCTGATGGCGGCATTGAGTGTGGGTGGCCTAGCTGGAGCGGTGCTGGAGAGCACACCTGGTGGTGCAGATGAGGGAGAGCTGGCCAGCTGACCAGCTCAGCTACCACCCAGGCCCAGGTCCAGGGCTCTGAGCTGGCCTACCCCAGCTCTCTGTCATCTGTGAACAGTTGGGATGCGTGAGAAGGACAGTCCTGCAGATCCAAAGCTGCAGCATCTCCATGACACAGGACAACAGGTAACCGGGAGGAGTCCCAGTGAGGATCCAATATGGATGGTGTCACCGAAGCCAGAGACCTCGAACCAGACCAAAGACTCACTGCAAGGAACATTTGCAAGTGAAGACGTGTGGACAGAGGTGTGTACTGTGGGACCCACGGTGACACCACAGCTTCCGTGACGAGGCGTTCTCTTTGCTTTTTTGTTTTTTTGTGGTTTATTTTGAAGGGAGGTTGGGTGCGAGGGCAAAGGGGTGGATATGAGGGGATAAGGAGATGAGCGGAACTGGGGTGAATGATGTGAAACTCACAAAGAATCAATAAAAATAAAAAAAAAAAAAGTGTGCCAGCCAGTACTATTTTTATAGTGATTATGACAGTTTTTCAGGGAAAACTGGTGAAGGCTCTTTTGATTAGTAAAAAAGAAGTTTACAAAAATAAAAATAAGAGTTATCCTTTGCAGGACAGAAGAAGAGAAAATTAAGACATGAGAAGAGATAAAAGTCCCCATACTCCAGAGTCTGACTGGAGTCTCTGTCAGGTGAGAATCAAGAACTTCAGCACATGGGGCTGGAAAGGCGGCTGAGCATTTAAGAGCACTGGGCTGCGCTTCTGGAGAGCCAGGATTGGGTTTCCATTACCCACATGGCAGCTCACAATCGTCCCTGGTTCTGGGTGATCCTATGCACTCTTCTGGCCTCTACTGGTACCAGGCAAGCATGTGGTACATAGACATACACCCATCCACTTAAAATAATTTAAAAATTATCTTCCTCTGCAGCACTTGTAATCTAGGGCGGTTTTCTTTATCAAGCTGCAATGCTACCCAATCACTTTAGGATCTCATTTTTAAGTTCTTTGGCAACCCTTTGAGATATAACCTCACAAGATACCAAAAACGTACGTTTGGCTTTGTTTGTTTATTTTTTATTTTTTTGAGACAGAACCTCACTATGTAGCTCTGGCTTTCCTAGAACTCACCACATAGACCACGCTGGCCTTAAACTCACAGAGATTTGCCTGGCTCTGTCTCTGCTCCCAGAGTGCTGGAATTAAAGGTGTATACCACCACACCCGCCCACATGTGACTATTTTATAGATATATAAGTGTAATTCTCCTTTGAGAAGTCCACGTGCATACTTGGGTCATTTTACTCTTTCCCTGAGCACTTTTTTGTTAAAATTTTCTTAATATAGTCAACTCTGCTATAGCAAGCCAATCATAAAATTTTAAGAACAAAGTCAAAGAGTCCAGGTTTGTGTGAGTAGAAATCTCTATAAAGATGTGTTTCTTTGATAGGCCCTGCACATGCTGACATCATTTTTGCCATTTTGAATAAATATGCCGTTTTATCATAGAAAAATAAACTCTGAAAATGAAAAGCTTTTAATTTAATAAAACAGTTAGAATAAGGTATTTTTTTAAGTTATTTGTAACAAAGATTATGCAATAGGTCTTTTAAAAGGCCTAAATTAGGTTCACCTTATGGAAGATTGTATTTTATAATGGACACAGTAATACTTTTAGTTTCCCATATTCTTCAAGACTCTTTCCATGCCCGCACATTAAGAGACTGAGCAAATCCCCCACCCCCAGTCCAGACAGGCTGATGAGAATGACTATGCCATAGAGTAGCAAGCATTTCCTAGAGTCAGGTTACTGTTGGAGTCTCTGGATTATCAAGTATGTCAGACTGACTCAACTTCCCGTGTAGTGTGAAACACACAGAGGCTTGGCGTGCCTTTATTTCAGTTATGACTGTGTAAGAATACATACATGAATTTGCACAAGAGGAAAAAGTCAACCATCCCAATAATAAAGTTCAACAGCAGTGACAAATGACACACAGACACAGCTGACAAGGCATCTCACCTCTCTCACTGGTCATATACCCTGAGGTCTTGAAGTAACAAAGAGAAAGCTGGTGGCGATAGCCATGCTTGTGGCTCACAGCATCACCAAGGACCACAAGGACATCTATGATGCCTTCTGACTCCCACAGGTGCCAGATGGCCACATGCTCCAGCGACCAACAAGAACGTCAAGGCTTAACAGCACTTAACTAATGCACAGTGAGGTCTAAGATACAAGTGAAAAGGGAGATTGGTGTTGTACTGCTATCTGGAAGTCACACAGTGGATCTGTATGGTGTCTGACATGAGCTCATCCTGATTTTGGACAAATTTGGGCTTCCAGTCTTGCCAAGAGCCACTGAAGTGGAGAAGTTCAGTAGGAATGTGGGCTTTCTGGTATTCTGAAAGGTCTGTACCCCAAGAACTGCTTCTGGCCTCTGACACTCCTTCTTCCTGTGTTGCTGTATCTCTCAAAACTCTGGCATGGTGCGAACCCTCACTTTCCAGGCATTTACCCATTCTGAATGAACAATCCTCCTACAGGACCTTTATGCTGCTGTTCAAATGAACCAATGATTTCATTATTCCTAATTAAAGCTTTACAGAATTTTTCTATTTGAACCATTTTACAAGCAAACTTAAAAGCTGATACAAAGCTTATGGCTGCAACAAACACTAGCAGGAATCCTGGTATACACCACAAATACAGGCAAGTTGGCTTGAGCTTCCCATGAACCCAAAAACATAATGTGGCTACCAAATGTCTAAATTAAGTACAAACCTTAATGTCAAAATACATAAACAAGGTCTAGTTCCTTATACCTTGTCAGCTTATGGCATTATATACTGCTATTCTAAATTCACTTTGTATCCTAGAATGAAAGACAGATAAAATTATTGTCCTGAACCTACTATAACCTAAAAGGTAACTGGAATGTGCAGCCAGCTCAGTCTAACTTAACAGGCATATATACCTTGCTGCAACCTCTTGGACCCTGTTAACCTTTAGGGTTTGTCAACCTTTGTCATTCTGATATCAGTATGAACTTACATAATGGGTACATAGGTAAGAAATGTTTCATTTAATGAAAAAAACATGTAACCTGTTTGTGTATGTTTGAATTCATCTGTTTTTGTGATTAATTGCCTTTTCAACTACGAGTTAATTCCTTTTCTGATTTAGAAAGCTTTGTCTCAGAAGTATAAAACCAACCAAGACAGTAGCAATCATACACCTTTTCCTCTTGAATGCTTGTGTGTGTGAGTGGTCTATGTTATGTCTCTCTTATCTCTTATTCCCCTGTAGATTCACAAGGAAGTTAGACTCAGGGGTCTCCACACAAATGCAGGCACACTTTAGCATACCGGAGAGATCTCTGCAAAGAGGCCTATTTACCCAGTGAGCTAATCCCCAGATCAAAGACCACCCCTCCCTTTTTTTTTTTTTTTTTTACAATCCCCTGCAGTTTTTGGCTAGAAGCCACTTTCCACAGCTCTGGCTGCATAAAAAAAGTGGCCAGTTTAAGTTTCCCTCCTCAGTGGCAGAGCAGGCTATCCAGAACTGCAGAGACAAAACCCTGTCTCCCTTCCCTCTTCTCTGTTCTCACTGGCTGCCTCTTGCAGTCTCTGAATTTAAAAACTTCTGAATTCAGGTACAGAAGAGGAGAAAAAGATGCCAGGCACAAGCCTGAGAGGCCCCATCACCGCTGACCTGACATCCACCTGACTCAGTCTTTCTCTGGATATTAACACTGTTCTTTTGACTGAACAGCTGCTGTATGGGAAGAAATAGCAGGAAAATCAAATGATAAACTTTGAGGACAGAGTCAGTGGTGAAGAGAACGCTGGTAGACAGGAGAACGTCCATTACTGATCTGCAATTTGCTCCCTAGCATATGGGTCTGATGACTCAGCCTGCTCAGCAGATGGTATAGTAAGACAATGTGAGCACCAGATGCTATGAATCTCAGCCAGTGGTCTCTGCAAAGGGAAATCTCAGGTAAGCCGAGCTGTAGATGCACTTCT